AAAAAAAAGCCAAAATGCTCAAGTGGTAGAGTGCTAGCCTTGAGCAAAAAGCAGCTCAGGGACAGTGCCCAGGCCCTGAGTTCAAGCCCCAGGACTGCTCCTTCCTTCTTCCCTCTCTCCCCCCCAAAAAAGCCAAAATGTACTAGCCAGCACTGAAAACTAGATCCAAAGAGGCAAGATCTCTGAAGGAGGGACACCAGTGGTGTTTTAAGGGGTGTTGCACACAACCAAAAGCTAGTCAGTCTCTGACTTTTTTTTTGGTGCTGGTCCTTGGGGCTTTAATTCAGGGGCCTGGGTGCTATCCCTGAGCTTTTGTGCTCAAAGCTAGTGCTCTATCACTTGAGCCACAGCTTCATTTCTGGTTTTTATGGTGGTTAATTGGACAAAATTGCCTAGTAGCTGGGCACCAGCCTGTAATCCTAGCTACCCAGGAGGCTAGATTGGAAGATCATGGTTCAAAGCCAACCCAGCCAGAGAAGGCTGTGAAACTTTTATCTCCAATAAACTACCAGAAAACCAGAAGTGATATTATGGCTCAAAGTGGTAGAATACTATCCTTGAATGAAAAAGATCAGGGACAGCACCCAGGACCTTAGGTTCAAGCCCCCAAACCGACCAAAAAAAAAAGTCTCACAGACTTTTGTGCTGGGGCTGGCTTCTTCCAACCTCCATCCTCAGATCTTAGCCTCCTGAGTAGCTAGGATTATAGCCATGAGTCACTGGTGCCTGGCTCAGTCTCTGATTTGAAAGGGAACCAAACCTTTACATATGGGGATATGTTGTAGCATGCAAGTCACTCTCCCCTCTGACTTTGGGTAGGAGATATGACTGCTCACCTGTGCAAGACTCAAGCAGGAACAGAACCTGCTGCAGGTCTGACTGACAGAGGTCAATGTCACTGCGGACCAGCTCTAGCTCCCCCTTCAGCACAAGGAAAACAGCACACCTTGTTGGGAAGAGAGGAGAAATCAGTCAGTGGAATCCTTTGTTTTCCTAGAATCTCTTCCTAAGCAAAGCCATTGCCATCTTTCCCTGCCCACCTAAAAGGTCTTCATTCCCTAAAGCTCCCTGAGGAAAACCATCTATACTATCCTCTCATTTCAAATCATTCTTGTGCAGGATTTCCCAATAACATTCCATAAATAAAATAGAATCCACAGCTGGGAATGTGGCTTAGTGGTAGAGTGCTTGCCTAGCATGTATGAAGCCCTAGGTTCAATTCCTCAGTACCACATAAATAGAAAAAGCCAAAAGTGGTGCTGTGGCTCAAGTAGTAGAGTGCTAGCCTTGAGCAAAAGAAGCTCAGGGACAATGCCCAGGACATGAGTTTAAGCCCCAGGAGTGGCACTTGTGCGTGCGTGCGTGCCAGAAGTGGAAAAACAAAGAAACAAACAAAAAAACCCACACAAAAAAACAAAAACTAGAAGTAGGGCCCCAAGTTCAAGCCACATGACCAAGAAAGAAAGAAAAGAATCCCACAGGCAAATAAACTCAGGGAAAGGCAGTACTTGAACTAGAGATATCCTGAAGGACAAGCAGAGCCCAAAAGTAAATGAAAGCATCTAACTTTGACTAAACTAACTTACTAACTAAACTAAGGTTAACACCACTAATTTAGCTATGAAATACCTTCTTCTACCAACCCAAGACATGACTTGTGTTTTCTGGAATATTTGGGGAACCCATAGTCAAAAGTGCCTTTACTCACTGGGATGGTATTTGCAACTTGGTTGTAAGTTTCAGGGCCTCCAAGCAGAAGGCCTTGGCTTCGCTCACACACCCCAGCTGACCCAAGCGGCAGACCAGCTTCTCTGAGCAGCTCAGCACCTCTGAAAGAACTTGCCATTTTTGTACCACATTTTCACCTATAGCAAAGGATAAAGGTACGATTTACCATCCAGACACTGACCAGTTCTCTGGTGGGAAAACTGCTAGCCCTGTCTTCTAGCCTGTCCACTCCACCCCTACTCTTCTCCTCAGACATACCATAATCCAGAAACGGTGCCTCCACAGATGTTTTCTGAGTTGAAAGTACATCACTGCCCATCAGCAGGAGGATGATGCTTCGGAGGAGCTTGTGGGAGTCTAAGAGTGCTGTCTCAGGGGTCTGCCAACCTGGGAGAGGGAGCAAGAAAGGAAGATGATGATTCAGCTAGCATTCCTACCATCTTCAACTCTAAGATAGCAAATCCAAAGCAGGCTGCCACCACTCTTTTTTTTCTGCACCAGAGACAGACAAAGCTAGTCAACTGCCAGACATCTTCCCTCTGAGATGCATTGGAGTCCCAGAACTCCTTTCAGTCCAGTATTCCAAGTAACCAACAGTAAATGGACTAGAAGCTGTGGGTAAAGTAAGGCCCACTTGTCACTGCAGGCCTACTCTATGCCATTCTGGGTGGCTGCTCCACACAGCTGGACAAACAGCAGGGACAAGGGTGGAAGAAGAGCTGACAGCAGATTGGTTTTGCCCATCATCAAAGAAGGGCCTCTGCTTTCACCTTGGATTTGGAGTTGCTCCCGCAGGGTGTCTGAGAGACTGTTTGCTGAGAGGCTAAGGTAGGCAGCCAGCAGTTGTAGGGCCTGGACACGCAGCACGTACCAAGCCTTGGATGATTTCTGAAGGGCAGGATCCCGAAGGACCGTCAGCAATAGAGAGATACCCTCAGACACCTGGGAAAGACAAAGGGACACAGGAGAGCAGTCTGATAAATATCTCAGAGCTTGAGATAGCCCTGGAGATTATGTTCATCTTTTTTGTTTGTTTGTGCCAGTCCTCGGGCTTGAACTCAGGATCTGGGTGCCGTCCCTGGCTTTTATGTTCAAAGCTAGAGTTCTACCACTTGAGCCATAGCTCCACTTCTGGCTTCTTTTGGTGTTTAGTTGTAGATAAAGAGTCTGACAGACTTTCCTGCCTTAGCTGGCTTCAAACTGAGATCCTCAGACCTCAGCCTCATAAGTACCTAGCATAATAGGCATGAGCCACTGGTGCCTGGTGAAGCTATTTTTTTTTTTTGTTTTGCTGGTTCTAGGGTTTGAACTCAGGGCTTGGGTTCTGTCCCTGAGCCTCTCACTTGGGCCACAGCACCACTTCTGGCTCTGTTTATATGGTACTGAGGAATTGAACCCAGGGCTTCATGCATACTAGGCAAGCACTCTACCACTAGGCCATATTCCTAGCCCTCGTTTACAGTTCTTGACAGTAGTAGAATTAGAACTCAGGACTATACACTGGCTAGGTAGGTAGTATACCACTTGACCCACACCTTCAGGCCCCAATCCATTTCCTTTAAGAATAAAAAAGCTGTGCTGGTGGCTCATGTTTATCATTCCTAGCTAGTTAGGAGGCTGAGATCTGAGGATCTTGGTTAAAGTCAGCAAATCCTTGAGAATCTTATCTTCAATTACTCTTAAGGCAGGGCTTTAGTGGTACAGTGCCAGCTAGGAGTGGAAAAGCCAATCCAGAGTTGAGAAGATCAAAGTTCAAGCCTCAGTATTGGCACAGAAACAAACAGGGAATCCTCATCAGGCACAATAACTCATGCCTATAATTAGAGCTATTTGGGAGGTTGGAATTAGGAACATTGTAGTTCGTGGCCAAAACAAACAAAAAGCTTGCAAGACAAGACACCTCTTCAACCAATAGTTAGGTGCAGTGCTATGCATCATCCCACTAGATTTCTAATGTAGAGCTCCAACCAGTACCTTTCCCAAAACCAAATTACTATCTCTCTATTCTTTTTAAATTGAGATAGAGTCTCACAGTGTAGCTTAGGTTGAATAGGAGGTCCTCAATAGCTTCTCAGCATTTAGAAAACATTTTGCCTAGCTCCAGGGAAATCTTAGAACCCAGACAAACATGATGAAAATCCTACTATCTTTCTAATAGCCAGTACCTTTGGGGATTAAGAAAGTGAGAAATAGGCTGGGTACTTGCCTATAATCCTAGCTATTCAGGAAGCTAACATCTGAGGAAGGTGGTTCAAAACCAGCCCAGACTGGAAGGTCAATGAAACTCTTATCTATAACTACCAAAAAGCTAGAAATGGAGCTTGGGGTCAAAGTGGTAGAGTACTAGCTTTGCACACAAAAAGCTTAGGGGTAGCACCTAGGTCCTGAATTCAAGCTCTACAACCTAAAAAATAAAGAAAAAAAAGTGAGAAATAGGGCAGGAGTGTAGGTCAGTAGAACAACACATGCTGAGAGGCCTTGTTTTCAATTCTACCACAAAAATAAATGAATGAATAAATAAAATGAAATTTTAAAAAGGTGTGAAAGGGTTGGTATAGGAGGGAAAAACTGAGCGTGAGAGAGAAGGGGTGACACTGTCCAAAATAAAAAATAAACTTTAGGGGCTGGGAAGGAGGCTCAGTGGTAGACCACTTGCCTTGCATGCCTGAGGCCCTAGGTTTGATTCCTCAGCACCACATAAGCAAAAAGAAAAAAGCCGGAAGTGGCGCTGTGGCTCAAGTGGTAGAGCGCTAGCCTTGAGCTGAAGAGCTGAGGGACAGCGCCCAGGCCCAGAGTTCAGGCCCCATGACCGGACCCAAAAAAAAATAAACAATCAGCAGGCATGAGGCCCTGGGTTCGATCCCTCAGCACCATATCAACAGAAAAACCTGGAAGTGGCACTGTGGTTCAAATGGTAGAGCGCTCGCCTTGAGCTGAGGGACAGCGCCCAGGCCGAGTTCAAGTCCTATGACAGACAGACAGACAGACAGACAGACAGACACACACACACACACACACACACACAATCAGCATGTTTCATTTTAGCGTAGGAAGACCAGGGACATCTGAACACACAATTAAAGAAGACTGACACAGAACTTGCTGTTAACTCAAGAGATGAGGTTAAAAAAGAACAAACTTCTTAATAGAGGGTAGAAATGTCTGGTGAGAGAAACAAATGACTAGTAGATGAAAAGGTATGACAAGCCAGGTATAACAGCACATGACTGTAACCCAAGTACTTGGGAGGCTAAGGAAGGAGGATCTAGATTTCAAGTGTAGCCAGGGCTGCATAGAAAGAGCCTGTCTGAAAAAGAAAGGGCTGCCAGTGGATCACATCTGTAATTCTTGCTATTTAGGAGGGGTGAGATTTAGAGGATCTTGGTTAAAAAAGCCAGCCTGGGCAGAAAAGTCCCCAAGATTCCAAAAACAACCAACAAGAAGCAGAGGTGGAGGCAAGGCTCAAGCTCCAGTAGTAAAGTGCCTGCTGAAGGAGCAAGGTGAGCAAGTGTATGGTCCTGAGTTCAAATCCTAGTACCAGGGGGGAAAAAGGGAGAAATTCAAAGGATAAAGAAGGTAGAGAAGGGAGGGAAGGAGCAGAGGGAGGGAAATGAAAGAGAGAAGAGAGAGCACCAGAGAGAAATAGAGAGAGGAAGTATGACACTGAGGGCACAAATCTAAGTAAACTAATCCTTTAAACTCCTCAGCAAGTAAATGTGTAAGAGAAGAGAGATGCATCCAGAACCTGCCACCGTACCACTGGGCATGAGAGCCAGGCGTTCCTGGAAACTCTCCTTCTCAGGCTGAGGAAAGTGGCTAGATCCTGAATCTTTGAAGGCAAAGAGGTGCTGGATGCGGGCCAGGGGCACATCCCCAGGCCTCTCCTGGAGGCTCAGCTCCTGCAGCTGTTCTGCTAGTTCAAGGGATCCTTCGTTCTTCTGGGTCTTTCTGTTGGCAACAGAAGTAGGAATGAGTACCGTCTTAAAGTCTGGACCTTCCCTTCTGGCAATTTGCCCAGTCCGAGCCTCAGTAATGCTGAAAGGCTTACCTGAGCTGTCGATGGAGGTGGATGAGCAGCTGGTGACGACATGTGATGGAAACAGACTCAGCAACAAGGAAGGCAGTGGCATAGGGGTCCCTATGGCCCAGGCACAAGGCCAGGATGCGGCAGAGGTGAGCATAAAGCCCACTGGGGGGGCAGTGACTGATCCCTCGGAAAGCAATGCTCAGTGAGTCACAGATGGAATCCAGTGTAGAAAGACCTAGATGAAGAACAGGACAACTGCTAAAGATGAACTTCGGATTTCCTAGTTCATGGGAATTCCAAGAAGTTCCTATCTCATCTCCACAGAAAAAGCCAACGTGTGTGTGTGTGTGTGTGTGTGTGTGTGTGTGTGTGTGTGTTGGTACTGGGGCTTGAATGTAGGGTCTGGGTGCTGCTGTGCCTTAGTTTTTTTGCTCTACCATTTAAGCCATGCCTTCACTTCTGGCTTCTTTGGTGGCTAGAGATGAGAGAAGACTTTTCTGCCTGGGCTGGCTTTTAATTGATAGCCTTAGCTCTCAGCCTCCTGAGTAGCTAGGATTACAGGCGTGAGCCACCAGTGCCCAGCCAGGGTGATATACTTTTAACATGCTTCCTCCCAAACCCCTTACCTTTTTTCTTTTTTGCCATACTGGGGTTAGGGTTTAAACTTATGAGTCGTGCCCTCCCCCGCTTTTTCTTTTTTTTT